ATGGAGAAAAAAGATAAAGCGGCCAGGGCTCCCTTCAAGAAGAAAAACACAATTTGCCAGAAAGAAAAAAAATTAATATGTACTTTGCACATATTAGTAGACTCTAAAATTGAAACCAATAAATTGTCAAATTTTTTGGGGGCTTCACCCCCTGGACCTCTTTCGGAACATTTTGAGAAACACTCAACCACTCCTATTTTGCTATTGACAGCAAAATCTTACAGCTTGTTGGGAAAAAGAATCTAAGGGCCATGTCCACCTTATGCTTTGGGGACCTCAGACATCCTGTCAGGCAAATCTTGGAGCAACCCCCGTGAATACCCCTAAAAAAAATCTTATATATAGAGAGCAGTAACAACTTTTAAACTAAATATAAATCATCAAAGGTAACTTTTTAGGAAAAAAATATGTTAGCAGCAACACTAAACAATGTACCATCATGCCATTTATTTCAAGTTTCATGCTTGGCTACATACTATGAAGGCAAGAAAGCCAATGGCCAGGTGGTACAGACTGTGGGAAAATGTCCTGTTAAGGGGCGGACTTAGAGGAGGCCGACTCGATCAGCCCAAATTTTGGTCCCCTTTTCAGGGCCCCCATTTGGACATCTCTGGATCCGCCCTTGCTGTTTTATTGTTTAAAGTTTATTACTGGTGATTACTGGTGATTATGTAACATTTTCCCATAGACACAAATTACATCTTAGAGTTGGGGGAGTACGATGATGACCATTCTAGTATTGACCAGGAAAATTGATGTTGTTGTGTGTTGTCTTCCAAGTCCCATATATATTTTGAGAGTGGTGTTTACTTTGCAATTTACACTATGACTTGCGATGATTAAATCTGGTTTTTTAATTAAAATTTCAATTTGACTTGACTTCATTTTGTGTGAATACTGTTGCTTATATATTCCCCTGTACATGTAAGTAAACCGTCTCAAACATGCAGCTAATACACAGGTCCTGTATTGATCACTGGACAACTACCCACCATGACCAGTGGTTTGATTATATATACAGTAGCATACATTTATATATAACTGACTATAAAGCAATTATTGTCAAGTTATTTCAGACCCTATACGAAATAGGAGATAGAAGCCATTATTTTCTATAGGTTCATCAGACTATAATTGCATGACATAATTATTTATCCAGTTCAAATGATAATAATTATATCACCTATTATTTAAATTTCACAGGATATCAATTCAAGATGGCTACCAGTAAGTTGAATCGGTTTCTGGAACATGTTGATGAGAAGGTCTTAGAG